CTTTCCTAAACCCTTTATCGCTATCCATTTACACTGGCTCGCTAAGTAATCCGTGCCTTCTTTTCTTATTCCCATCTTGACTTCAGTCTGTCATGCATCAAACTTTCCACTCACCCTTTCTTCATTATGTGCCTTAGCAATGTCAACTGTCTCTTCCTGTTGTTAAGTATAAGTGTCCTTTTTGTTTCCGTTTTCTCTAAAAATGTTCGGACCATGATTTTCTCAGAATCCTTCCATAGAATCCCTTTCCTGTTGTTTCAAGTCTCTTCATCTGTGAGGAGATTGACCAGCATTCACTGACATTTTTACCATTTCAAAATGCACTTTCTATGTTGTATTCTATCTCTCTCCCTTTGCAATGTAGCATTTTTCTTACTTTCTTTCTTTCTTTTTTTCTTTCTTTCTTTCTTGATCAGAAAAGACGGACAAAAGTAGAAGGGAAGAAGTAGAATAGATATACAAATTGTATTTCTTTTCTGATCAATTGAGTAAAGAAAGAAACTGAATATATATTGCTATGGATCCTCGCGTGAGCCTTGAATCTTCAAGAAGGTTCATCCGCCCTTGTTTTTTTTTAAAGCTTAGCAAATCAGTTGTTGGATTATTCGAAAATTATCTTATATATTAATAACCGATTGTCTAGGTAAAATGTTAGTTACGCTACACGCACTAATCCTACCACAATAATAATGATTTCCGTGATTACGTTGAAAACGTAACGAGAAATTACCCTAAATATGTTGTACCCAAAACTATCCAAAGAGCTAAACATTTTTTTAATACCTGTAAGTTTTGCGGAGGCCGAAGGATAGTTTCTGTGATTAACATAATTTATTCTGACGCAAGTAATCGTCTTGAATTTAAAAATGTGGTAATTCTTCTTGGTATAAATTTGATAGGTCTTCCATTGGATTTTTAGGACTGCAGCGATTTAATTCGAATATGGCTAAGAATCAATAATACTAAAGTCAAGAAGAATCATTATTTTGAACAGAAATATGTTAAGAACAGAATTTCAATTTGGAAATATCTTAATAAATATTTTCTATTAAATTATCAATTTTCTTTTTTAATATTTTAAAGTGATTTGTTTCCATTCTCATATTGAAAAGAAAATAAGCAGAATAGGTTCCTGGAATCTGGTTCCTGGAAATTTGGGATGGAGCTGCCTGCATTGATACAATAAGATCTTGTAGTTAAATAAGTCTTTATTCCATGGACGTTGTTCGTACAATACAAGATACCACTTGTTCAATATGTCATTCTTGCGTTTCGCACACTTCACCAACGTAAAAATGTTCACGGCATCAGACAATAGTCAATAGCAGCTAAATAGATAATAACATTGGTGTAAGTTCCGCAGAAACTGAAAGATGGTTTTTGGTGATGAACATAAGTTATTCTAACAAAGGAAATCATCTTGAAGTTAGAAATGTGGTAAATCTTCTAGTCATAAATTTGATAGGTCTTCCATTGGATCTTTGGGACTACAGTGATTCAGTTCAAATATGGCTAAGAAACCATAACACAGCTGATGACACTAAAGTCAAGATGAATCATACTTCTGAACAGAAATATGTTGAGAACAGAATTTTTGATTCTTTAAATTATTTTTTTAAAGATTTCTTCGTTGCTTTTTTATGCCCGGTCCATGGCATTCTCAGAATTCTTCTGTAGAGCAACATTTCTGTTGCCTCCAGTTTGTTCTTCCATTTAAAAAGCTCGATATTGCATAAAAGTTCAGCACTCTTTTCTTTGTTTCTAACGAAATTTTCCCGTTTATTAATATCTTCCTTTGCTTCTGAAAGGCATTATTTGCTATCACAACGCGCTTTCGTAATTCAGTATCGCATTTTTCATCCTTTGTTATAGCAAAAAAAAAAGAAATCTTTCTAAAACCTCATAAAGGAAGTCCTTGACACTCTGCCAAGCATTCCACCAATGGTTTTTCTATTTCATTCTCATCTCGACTTTATTCAGAAACACATGAATTAACTTTTGAAGCTGCTTTTTATTTTTATTAACCAAAGTTGCTATTGATTCATCAGCTTTAAAGAAAATCGGTTTATTACCATGACAGCTGAAGGCCTCACTATCGTTTCCTATTCGGCGGTTTCTGGTTCTGGTTACGAAAAGACAAATTCATCTTCCACATTCTTTTCTCCTCAAGAAAATCTCAGTGTCTGCTGCTGAGCGACATCAGATTTTATTTTCAATCTCAATACAAAAAAAAGAAAGATTACACCTTGTACGCCTTTCCAAATTTGTAATTGTTTTTATGCTGTTCGCCATTTTTTATTAAATTCTGATCAAGACAGATTAATTTTGACTCGCAAAAATTAATGTCCGAAGGTTACAGAAATACCATAATTGCTTTTAAAATTCAATTTTTCGAAAGATTAAGAAATGAAAATTATTCTTTATCCCACCCACCCCATACACATCCACCTCCTTTCTCTTATTTGAAAATGTAAACCGAAAATTGTGATATGAAGATCTTTATGAAAACACGAGTCATGGCACATGAACAGACATTCATTTTACAAAATGAAAAATCATTCCAGAATAAATTAAAAAAAAACAAATGTATTATGAGACCTCTAAAAATCATACACGATTCAAGCAATAATCTAGGTAAAATCTCTTTATGTCTTCTTTCTAATACTAGAATTTAACCAATTCAAGGTTCGATAACCACTCAAGTTATAACGCCAGTGACGAATGAGATATCTGACATGAAGGAAAAGGGGGGTGGGGAGTAAAAACAGAGTAGTCCAAAAATAGACTTGTTTCAGTATTTGTTTCACGTTTTAGATCTAATTTATTGCAATCATAATTCCAAGATGGCTCACCTTCCCATGATGCTTTGGCAATAAGAGACTACCTTAACCAAAACTTTCTACAGCATTGGTTCGAAAAAAGTGGGTAGCATCTTAACACCAATGGATTTTTTTTTTTTTTTTTTGGCAGATGTAGTAAAGAACAAGATTTAGGAGAGAAATCCTCACGATTGGACGATTTACAAAAGTACATATTTATGAATAAAAACTAGTAATTGCTGACGCGTTTCGTCCAATGCGGACTTTATCAAAGCAAAATACGAAATGAATTTAATTGAACAAGGTAACTAATAAAAACAATTAAATCCATTTCGTATTTTGCTTTGATAAAGTCCACATTGGACGAAACGCGTCAGCAATTACCAGTTTTCCTATTGTCATTTTTATTCATAAATATTGTCTTCTCTACTGGTTAAATCGGAGAAATTTTCATAAAAGTAGATATCTCAAGTATTTATTGAAATTGATGCAGATCAGGATTTGTTCCGTGCTTCGTGTCATAATTGTCTGGAGAGGTTTGAGGAATGTTCCAGTGTTGAAGGAGGACATTTTGAGGCCTTAAAAGATTAAACTCTGCGAAAAAATATAAGTAAAGTGTTAAAACAAATCTACATAAACACTTTTGAACAAATAAGATTGTAACAAATAAATATAAATATAATAAATTTTTTTTTAATGTAAAGAGGAATAAAGAAGACAGTATGTAACGATTGAAATTGCATTTATATATTTGAAAATCAAAGTTTCTGGGAGAGAGTCCTACATCGAGAAGTACGAGAAAAAAGCCTTTTTCTAAAGAACTTATGGTGACATCTTGCTATTTCATCTGTAAAAAGAGACCTTGCTGCCAATCTAGTACTCCGCTGATCACTAATCTTATTTTAATAACGAACACTTAATGACAAAATATTCACCGATTTTTTTGAAGAATTTACTCATTAAAAATAGGTTGCTTCAGAGTCCTCTCGTGAAGTTTAAGCCGTAGTAATTTTCATATTTGACATGTCACTGATTATACATTTATTCTATCGAGTAAGTTTTCTTTTTTGCTAAATTATAATGGCTACAAGGACGAAGAAACTTATCTGAAAGGATCAAAATGTAAAATAATAACAATTCCTCATATTAGAATGTGTATTCAACATAATGGTTAGCAGCTCGGAAGCGGAAATCAGCAAAGCTGATTTCGAACTGGGTCTTTAATTCTTTAATTTTACAGGTTTGATTTAAATTGCAGCGCAGACTGGCTTCTGTAGCCGTTGTTTTCAACTAAACTAGGAGAAGGAGAACTCCGAATTCAAAACCAAAGTGCATACTATACAGCCATGAAAAGAATTACAGAGTTCACAGTTAAATACGGTGTGTCATTGTAGACTCCATGGATCTCTCGATTGATGTCGATGAGGTAAGTAATCTCAGAAATTCAGGCAACACACATGGTAAATAAATGAACACAGACAATGAGATTATTTTGAAAAATAACATTCTAAACATTCTAAATCCGAACATTTTCTTGGATGGATATTCATATATAGCGCCCTTATTTACACTCTTATCTAATCTCAATGTTATTATTTCTGGTTCCTTGTTCGTAAAACTCGTTTGATTTATCTTCCTTAAGCCTTGTAATGCAATATGGCAGGGTAACACTGCGCAGAAAACAGAAAAGATTTTTTTTTTGGTTGGTTATTTAATGCCGAAATCTAAATATTTTCTACGTTATTTTATTTATCTTTTAGATAATAATGTTTTCAGTTTTACAAGTCTTACTAATTAAACCATAACTGGAGATGAAGTGGTGAATTCATGCCTTTCCCAAGGTTATTTGCGCGTAAGTGAATATAACGAACCCAACTGGAATTGGAACTCGGCTCTCCGATTAACAATTCCAAGCCGTTATCCATTTACACCACTCGTACACCCAAGCTTACAACATCTGTTATTATTTAAAGAAAAGAGTACAGATGGTAAACATTTTTAGGAGATAATAATGTTTTACTGATATAAATCCTACTAATTAACCCATAGTTGGAGGAGAAGAGATGTATTCAAGGCTAATTGCGGATAAGAGAATACAACAAATGCGACTGGAATTAGAACTCGGAGGGCCAAGTTCCAATTCCGAGCCGTTATCCATTACACCACCCGCACATCCAAGTCTACAGTAACTGTTCTTCCTAAGTGATCGCCCATCTCTGTACTAACCAAGCCCGACGTTCTTTAACTTCGGTGATCGTACGGGAAGCGTTGTCTCAACGTAATGTGACCGTCAGCCAGAAAATGGTTGAAACGATTCTATGTCACAAGATATTAACAAACATCATAAATAGACATGTTTGGATAACATATATCAGACGCTGCTATAAATTGAATTTGTAAATGAGTTTCAAATTAGGAATTGTTTTTCTGGATGGAAAATTTTAAGATGAAAGGCAAATAGTGAGAAATAAAATAATTGTGTATTTGGAAATCGCTAAAGGAAATAAAGAAATCGACATCAAAAGTCTTATAAGCGACGAAGAGGATTATTGTTTCCTCTCTAGGATAAAATTCTATTCAAAAACAGAGGATTTTTTTGTTTTGTTTTTCTTTTGAAGAATGCATTAGGTTAAAAATATTTTCCCATGGCGAAAAGAAATAAACCGGGAATTTTGCTGCCTGAAACCAAAGAAAAGAGCCGATCTGCGGTTCCAACACGATATGGAAATAATTTCATGGTAATTCTGATGATGACATTTCTTCTATAGTACCTGGCACATGCCGGGTACGGTTTGTCATCTCCCAGTTGCGGGTTTGTCTTCAGGCAGAGTGCAACTCAGTTGTGGCTCTGTCCGCGGACAGAGCACTGCTGATGAAAATAAATACTGCGAGGTGCCCGGATTCGGGTCACAGCTACCTGAGGCTGTCTCTACACCACCACAAGACACGAGAGGAAGGATCAGTAGTCGCTGCCGAGGCTAGCCCGACCAACGGTTGTGGGGGCTGGGCAATTTTAGTCCTTGAGCCAGGTGTACATGCTCGGGTTCCCCCACAATAAACTCGATTTTGTGTTACATCAAGTCTTAGTGGAGAGACGAAGTAAATAATATTTTCTTCTATAGTACCTAGACTTTATCAATTTAACCACAGTACTAGATTTGCAATACGGTCTCATCAGTTTACAGTTGAAATGGGTAGATGTAACTGTCAGTTCTTTACTAAAAGGTTATTTTGTCGCTTGTGGAACTCACTTCCGGCTTCTTGGTTTCCAGCCATCTTTGATCTTCAATCGTTAGCAACTGTCTTCTTGATTCCCCTGCTTTTATTTTTCTCACTCCTATTTTTCTTTTTCTTATTCATACTCAGTAAGCTTGTATGACTTAACTGTTTTATTGATTGCCTAAAGAGTGAAATGATTAAATATATATATATACCTCAAAGAATTCATCTAATCAAAAATGGTCAACCGTTCTTCTATGATAGAATACAGAGTTTCGCTGAAAATTAGCTTACGGTTGCAATGATTCCTGACCATTTTTCGCCATTCCCCAACTAAGCAGCTATAAAATCCTGGTGCTCCACCCGTTGTGACTTATAATTCTTACTATTCAAAATGCGAACTCCTGTTCACGTGGAGGAAGCCTAGACGGACATTAACTTAACTTTCTTTAGGAACTTGAAAGTGCATATATGCAACAGTATTATCGTTTAATTTTAGTATTTTACAATATCTATAAAAATATTGTTACTAATATATATATATATATATATATATATATATATATATATATATATATATATAAGTGAATATAGAAGTCAAGACTTAGAGGGCGACAGTCTGTTTCATCATAGATGCAATCGTTAGTTCACGAGTGGCCTGACGATTGCATCTAACATGAAACAGACCGTCGCCTCTAAGTGTTGACTTTTATGTTCACTTTTATATTTACACACGCGCTATCTCTGAGCACTTTATCCCATAAATATAGCACATCTTAAGATTATATTTCTTTATATATATATATATATATATATATATATATATATAGTACATACGTAATTACACATGTTCATACACATTTTTATGTATGCATATTGTATATGCACTGTATATATTAACTCGTACACACATTCATACTCACTAGAAAAATTCATTGTTAACAGCTCATTCTCAAATTACTCCCCCCATTAAAATCAAATCGTCCAAATTGAAAAGTAAATTCTCCCTCTGTAGGCCGTTCGCCCCACGTTGAGAACCATAGGATTAAAGAATATAATTTGTTGGCTGAATAATGATGCTGTGAAATAAGATGAAATACTTTGTCGAAATTGTACTGGATGCAATGCGATAGGCCCTAATCTGGCATCTTGTCTGCAGTCGCTTTTTCACAGACATACCATGGCTTCCCTCTGTCACTTCTACGAGAATGTTCACGGCAACTGTTCCGACGAATTACTTTCACTGATTCCCAGACATCATGTATTTAAGCATTTTACTAGGTTGACATCTCGCTCCCACCTTTTCACTGTCGAAACGGTTAAATGTAACCATCCCTTCTACTCAAACAGCTTCTTCTCTCGCACTTCCCATCTGTGGAACTCACTTCCTCTTACTTGCTTTCCCTGATAGCTATAACCTTCAAATATTCAAGTGTAATGTCAATCGACATCTGACACCCGAGCATGTTCCCCGTCCTTCTCTGTATCCATTCCTCAGATACGCCTCATTACTCTTGTTCTTAATCCTCTATAGCTCCTTGCGTGCTTGTGGCACTCCAGCCTTGCTTGGGGTGAATTGCTTAAAAAAAAAAAACACTGTTACATCAACTTGCCTTAGCATGATTTTACAGTCGGGCTAATGTTGTCATCTCTGTTCGTATTATGACAACGTTCCGGCCACTGTGTTCTTCAGTCTTTTTCAGGTGTCTGTTGATCCGAGTAAACCTCAGGGAATTTCGAACCAGGCTTTATATTTATTCGACTGTGGTATGTGGTTCTAGTTTAGCTGTCCATCTCTAGGGATATTTAATGTTTTAGTACTGCCCAATTATTTTTCGCCCTGTTTTAACAGGACTAAGTCTGTAGTAACCGGCACGGGTATTGAACTCACAATTACAGATAGAAATTGCCTTAACGTTACGTTTAGCATGCTACTGTTGCTTGCTATTAACATTAAGTGGATAAAATGTTTCCAGCGCAATGATGTTTGAAAATTCCAAATTGAAATCAAAATAGAAAATATATTTTAAAAAGTCTCGAAAATTTTCCACTTGTTAAATTTGGCATCTTGTCTGCAGTCGCTTTTTCACAGACATACCATGGCTTCCCTCTGTCACTTCTACGAGAATGTTCACGGCAACTGTTCCGACGAATTACTTTCACTGATTCCCAGACATCATGTATTTAAGCATTTTACTAGGTTGACATCTCGCTCCCACCTTTTCACTGTCGAAACGGTTAAATGTAACCATCCCTTCTACTCAAACAGCTTCTTCTCTCGCACTTCCCATCTGTGGAACTCACTTCCTCTTACTTGCTTCTCTGATAGCTACAACCTCGATCAATGTACACGAGCCAAATGTAGTAATTTTTCATGTTATCTGTTGTTAGCAGTGACCTTTATGTTCCACCATGTAATAATTATTATTTATTGGTTCAGACATTTTTTTAAGCCATCTCATATATATGTCAGTCTTTGTTTTTCGTATTTCTTAAAAGATTTTTTTAATAATAAAAAATGTGTTCTCCTCCTTTTATTTTACTTCCGCTTTCTTCCAAAGAAATTGTTCAGTTTCCGTTTTTAGTATTCATCTGAGAAGATACGCGAGTATGGCTCTGAAAACAGTGATGGAACTTACCCTGAACCCACTATAAAATACAGAATGTGTATTTAATCTCTTTTAAACAATTCAAATGCGTCAAAAGAAAGTTGAAAAGGAAACTGCGCTAGAATTGATAAACACTATCAGTAACTGAAAATCAAATCAGTCTCTTTTCGTCATTTCTGATCAGACGCTGAGTTTTCTCTAGTCACGAGGAATGGTTGCACCAATCTCAACAAGGCTCCATACTTGGAATATCTACTGGGTCTCAATTTCATTCCAGACATCAAGTGGAACACATATATACATTCCATTGATAAAGATGCTGGAGAAATGGTATAACATTTCAAAATGTGTAATTAATAAACTCTAAGCATTTCAAATATCTTGGTGTATATATTAGTTACAACAAATTTAATATAGGTGATAAGGAAATTGAACATAGGCCAAGTAGCGATAGGGATAGTTTCGCCAAATACCACCAGTTGCTACGAAACCAAAATACTAATCTAAGCATTAGGGTCATGTTATTAAATACATTCATTAGATCTTGACTCTCATATGGATGCATGACGTCCAACTCGTTTAGAAATATCTAAACTATCAGTTATATAGAACCGAGTAATCTTTAAAATACATTCTAAATATCTTGGTGTATGGATTAGTTATAATAAATTTACTCTAAGAGGTGAGGAAATTGAACATAGGGTATACTAGGCAAGGCTAGAAGTAGTTTTGTCCAACACTATAAGATGCTACAAAACCAAGCTATTAATCACAGAACTCGAGATTTGTCGTTGAATATCGTCATCAAATCTCGTCTCTTATCTGAATGTCATGCATGGTATCCGATTAGGGGGCGCAAATACCTAAATTATCAACTGTAGACAACCATTTTTTTTTCTTCAGAGCAATGATTAAAGATGGTTGCAGGTGAATGAAATGTGTACGTCATAAAGAAGGCAATCCTTCAGCGGATCGTATCGACTTGCGCTATGGAATCACAAAGAAATATCAAAATCACTTGAAGATTTCGAAAAGGAACAAAAACTAAAATGGATAGCACATGAACATAGAATGAAAAATAATTATATAAACAGATCGTAGTCAGTTCAATGCTGTAAAATTTCATCAAAACCAAATTTAGTAAAGAATACAGACATTGCATAACATTTGAAAAGAAATAGCATCTAAAAAAGTAATTTTAGAACTCGAAAATAGAGAAAAAAAAAACAAGATAAACAAAATGTAAAATTGACAAGTCTGTTGTTTTAATTTGGGCTGAATTATAGTGGTAATGTAAAATTATAGTGGTAATGTAAAAATATAGCGGTAATGTAAAATTATAGTGGTAATGTAAAATTATAGTGGTAATGTAAAAATATAGCGGTAATGTAAAATTTCCAAACGTTCTTATTTATGTACATTAGTTGCATAATATTTTAACTTGGGTTGAAGGAAAAAATATGT